GACCCTCCCCTGCCCAGTTTAGCCAAAGCAATCTGGCTTGGAATTCTCTATTAAAGCTATTGCACTGCAGTAATCCGAGAAACTTCCTATAACAAGAATATTAAGATGCATGAAGCTAATTAACTTTCACAGTTAACTCTCCAGGATACCCATTAAGTTTGCAGAGAAACCTGCAGCGACTTCCCAAATCACATTGTTAGGTACATGCGAACCTCCTACCCCTCCCACACAACTGGCTCCAAAACTGCCGATTGCGACATCACCCATCGGAAATTCCTTCCTTCTCTGTTTTAACAAATGCTCCAAGTGATTCTGATGCACAGTCAAGTTTGAGAATCTTTGTTGTAGGTGAGGACAACTGTACCAGTTTCATTTAAATAGACATTAGTATTAATACATTTTATTATTGATATATTTATTCTTAAAATATTTTATAATAAATGGCTGTTATAAAATATACATACTTGTATTTTATAAAGGAGTTTTGTGGAACCTGTTCTTCAAATCAACCCATCAATTTTGTTCAAAACCACATACTAATGGCTATATTTAAAGGCAATCAATAACAACAAAAAAAGAGGAACTCAAGGAAACATAAAAGAAAGGAAAAGTACAAGACCATAAATGTAAATAAAAGACAAAATAAATAAGCCTAGCTAAACTACGCATTTGATGAGATAATAAATGACAAATGTAGATAAGACTTTCTGACATAGTTCTTCATGGATGCGCTCTATTTCTTAAGCAGCACCAGGAAAATCATAGAATTCCAAACAGTGAAACTCATTTAGAAGGAAAGAAGGAAGGAAGGAAGGGAGGGAGGGAGGGAGGGAGGGAAGGAAGGAGGGAGGAAGGCGGGAGGGAGGGAGGAAGGAAGGCAGGCTGAGTTGCAGAGTTTGCCATAGATTCTAAGTCGTAAACCTCGAAATAGATGCGGTGCAACTGCCCAGGTTGTAGCCAGAACAAGAAACTAGAGCCCAAGCACTGGAGCCTGTAGGGTCTCAGAACAGGATTTAAAACCAACTGATTTTGTTGAACCTTCTCCTTTTATTGATTAAGTCCAAACAGCTGACCTAAGGTCATCTAGCTAAGGGTGAGACTAGAGCCCAGGTCTCCCGACTTCCAGTCCTGAGCCCTTTTCTCTACCAGACGGCACCTCTTCACACTGGCCAGGCACCCCTTACCCAGAGGGGCAAGGGGTTTAATGGCTGAGACATTAGGAAAAGATAAACATTTTTTATTAAAAAGATCCAAGAGTCTTCATTACCTACCACCCAAATACAACCACTGTTAGTTTTTTCCTCATGTGAATATACATATGAAGACACACACACATATACACACATTTGTGCAACTTGCTATCTGGCTGTTTGCTACTTAAATATTACATGTAAGCATTTTTCCAGCTCTTCAACTTTATTTAAAAATGGACACTTTTTAAAAATTTAAATATTCATTCATTTATTTTTTATTTTCATTTAATTTTTACTGTATTTTTCCCATTACCGTTGGTCCCCATATGTCCCCCTCCCTCTAGTGCTCACCACACTGGTGTCCCTGTCTATGAGTCCCTTCTCCTGTTTGCTCAATGCCTCCACCCCCTAACCTCTCCCCTACCCTACTAGCTGTCATATCTGCTCTCCATCTACGAGTCTGTCTCTGTTTTCCGTTAGTTCAGTTTGTTCCTTAGATTCCATATATGAGTGAAATCTTACGATATTTGTCTTTCTCTGACTGACTTACTTCACTTAAATGTTAGACCCAAAACCATAAAAATCCTAGAAGAAAACATACGCAGCAAAATCTTGTATATTGCTTGTAGAAATTTTTTATCAGATATATCTCCCCAGGCAAGGGAAACAAAAGAAAAACAAATGGGACTACATCAAACTCAAAAGTTTTTGCACAGCAAAGGAAACCATCGACAAAATCAAATGACAACCCACAGAATGGGAGAACATATTCGTTGATACATCTTATAAAGGGTCAACATCCAAAATTTATAAAGTACTTACAAAACTCTACACCAAGAAAACCAAATAACCCAATTAAAAAATGGGCAAAGGACCTGAATACACACTTCTTCAAAGAGGACACACAGATGGCCAATAGACATATTAAAAATAGAACTTTTAATGGCAGAATGAGGTTACTCCATTGAGATTTATTATTTTTTATGTAACTAACCTCCTAAAACTAGATGTTTGAGTTGTTTCTAATATGTTACAATGATAAATAAAGCTTCCGTAGGTATCACTGTACACAGCTATTGTGTACTTCTATGATTACATTTCTCTACGATAAATTCCTAAGTGTGGAAATACTAGGTCAAAAGGTATGAATAAGCTCCAGTACACAACTGCCCTATTGCCCTCTAAGATGTACCACATGTAGCTGTTACACTGAATTTATTTACTTTTCTCTTTTTTCCAACTTCCTTGGCAAAAATGAGAGTCTTTCAAAGCACTAATGTTGTTTCATTAATCATCAAGTTTAAAAAGCATTTAAGAATCAAGCACACACTTACTGGAGGACCCAGTAATACTGCTGGTAGGTGCTTACCCAGGAGGGAGGGGAGGTGTCTACAAAGATTTGTGTGGGCTCGAACTGGAAACAACCTCAATGCACATCAGCTGATAAATGGATAAACGAGTCATGGCGTATCCATGCTATGGATGACTATCCAGTAATAAAAAAGAATAAAATATTAACATATGAGGAATGTAACAACATGGATGGATCTCAGAAACAGCATGCTAAGTGAGAGAAGTCAAACACAAAAGATTACATGCTGTATGTGTGGTCCCGCATATGAGAAATTCTTAAAAAACAAAACAGAGAACAGGCGCGTGGTTGTGGGGGGACTCCCCTGGAAAGAGGCGGGAGAATACTTTTTAGGGCGCTAGAACTCTATCTTCTTGATGGTGACAACATAAATGTAAACAGTAACAAAAATTCATCAGTCTCTATACTTAGTAGGGTGAATTGTTCTGTGAGTAAATTACATCTCAGTAAAACTGGAGAAAATGAAAACAAGGCAAAGACTATTTATGAAATTTGGGGGGTAAAATGAATTTGTTTTCATTTTCTCATATTTTATTTAAAATTTTGTCTGTATTCATATACATTCTACATAGTTATACTACATATATAAATTTCTGTTTTAGACACTTTTAAACACAAATAATGTGTTTAATGTGTTTTTATATATTTCTACCCAGTCTTCATGACTATAATGTAAAACAGCTGTACATAACTGTCCAAAGCCCAGAACCACTTCCCTACTGCAATAAGGTGAATTACAAAGTTCTAAAGCAGATGATTCCTCCTCAATATTTGGATGCCACCAGGTGGACAAACTGTGTAATGTTGCTGAGATTGAGTAGACTGTTTTATACATTTTATAAATAAAATATTTTTTAAACATTTATTTATTACTGGCCAGGTAATTTAGTTGGATGGAGCGTTGTCTCGATACGCCAAGGTCACAAGTCCCATCTCTGGCCACCGCAACAAATGAATGCATTAATAAGTGGAGGAACAAACTGATGTCTGTCTGTCCCTCTTTCTCAAATCAATCAGTAAAAATATTGTTTAAAATTTTTAATGTGAATTAATTTTAAAACTAAACAACTTTCAAAACTGAAAACATAATGTTATAAAGGTACGGGATAGCCACGATCCTCTTCTGTCTCTGGAAGTAACTTAACCCTTAAATCTGAATCTAAGGAAATCGGTTCAGGAAAAGAAAGAACTTCCTGTTGAGACTGAGTTCCCTATAAACTAAAACCGTGGATATAAATAATAGTCTATTTATGCCCCAAACCAAAAATAATTTAGGAACCTGCCAATGTAAACAGCCCCTGCTGTTGGCCAGCCAGGTGACCGCTAACAAAACGATAAGCCCTCTCAGGAGGCACAGTGAAGCCAGTGATGAAAATGTGGGGAGGTTTGTCTGGAAGGCAGAGGAACAGCAGGAAACTCATTCTCATTTGGGCAAAGACTCCCTGATTCTCTCCATGAGTCACCAGTTCTTTCCCCCACAGACCCTGGCCTCTCCACTTCAGGCTTTTCCTATTGCATTGAAAGAGTAACTGGCTAGACACACACACACACACACACACACACACACACACACACACACAAAGATTATTTCAGAAAAGTGTTTAGTCCCAACCACAGTCGACAAGTGACTTTTTCCAAAGAATGCCCTTGAATGACACTGAGCCATTGCCTGCCACCAAGTAGACAGATGAACACCCTGCACTGCCTGTAACCCAACACTCTTTCCAATTATTTTTTTCCTGATACCCTCTAACCCTCTCTATCATACTGCCAACTTCCATAAATTAAAAGAAACGGTGAAAAAAGAAAAGAAAAACTGTAGAAGTGACGCTCCCAAGAACTCGCAGCGGAAGGTCGTCACTCCGTGAAGTGAGAACCCAGTGAGAGAGAAAACATCGCTCACTGAAACAAAACCACACTTCGCTGTTGTCAACCTCAGAGCTTGTCTTCCAGTATTTGCTGAAATGTTTATTTGCTTGTTTGTTTTAATTTTAATGATATTCCTTAATAGAAAATAAATTCATTTAATGAAAATTCAAAAGGTACAGAAGTAAACAACAAAAAGTCTCGTCCCAGTTGTGGCCCTGGCTGACCAGCCTCACTCCCAGAGACAACCATTAACCATTTCTTATGAATCCTTGTGGAAATATTTTATACACAAACAGTTACAGATATACATTCTCCCCATATAGACATTTGATCCCATTCCCTCTTTCTTATTACCCAAATGGTAAACCCCTATCCATAATGACACTTTTTTTACTTCACACAATATATCATGCTGTTTGTACTATATCAATATAGAATTTCTCATTCTTTTTAAAGCTGTGTTACATGGCGTCACATAGATGTACCAGAAGGTATTTAAGGAATTTCTTATTAAGATGGACATTTAGCTTGTTTTTAGTTTGGGAGTATTTTTATTATCTTCTTACCTAAAACTCTCTGGGCTAAACTGATTGCTTCTTCAACTGGGTTTGAGTCGACAATTTCATCTAGAATACCCAGCTTGAGTGCTTCGTCTGCCAAAATGCGTCTTCCTGAAACAAAACAAAACAAAACAAGTCAAAGGACAAGGTGGGACTAAAGCAAAAACATTACTCTCTCTAGTATGGAGGACATCTGACCTGTATATAAACATCTATTAGTAAATAAAATACATAAGCAGCACTGCACTGACTAATGTAGTAGAAAAGACCACTGAAGAGGTAACCAGAAAATGTGGATTCGAGCTCCGGAGCTGCCTTTACTGTTTTTGTCACCATGAAGAACTGTATAGGACTACGATTTCCTTGTTGATAAATGGGAACGACTTACCTTACCTTAGTAATTCTGAGTATCAGGTGAAAATAACATATTCCCTTTACATTCTATAAATATCTATAGAACCACGTTATAAACTATAGATCTCTATTTAAATATAAGAGGTGATTGTTTTAAATTATAATACTAGCCCTGGCTGGTGTGGCTCAGTGGATTGAGCACCAGCCTGCAAACCAGATGGTTGCCAGTTTGATTCCCAGTCAGGGCACATGCCTGGGTTGCAGGCCAGGTCCCCAGTAGGGGGCACATGAGAGCTGACCACACATTGATGTTTCCCTCCCTCTCTTTCTCCCTCCCTTCCCCTCTCTCTAAAAATAAATCACTAAAATCTTTTTTAAAAAATAAATAAATTATAATATCAGAAATAGAGCAGTATCTCCTATCATATGTAAAAAGGGCTGTTGTTGATTCAAAAAAAAAAAGACAGTGCCCACAGATAAATATGGTTGGGTAGACAGGAAAAAAATGTATTAAGTTAACATTATATAAACTATTATCAAAATTACACAAAGTAAAGGAGGTGGGGTTTCCACCATTTCTTTGGCTCCCCAGGATCTCCACCCCTCGCCTAGTTGTGGAATCACGACTGCCTGAGCCTTGGAGCGCTGGCTCTTACTACAGAAGGTGAAAAGGAGACAGAGATAATCAGACAACTGTTCCTTCTGACCTGTGGCATCTGGGGTACGTCCCATGACACAAGGCTGGCAAATGGAGTGCTCTCCTGAGGGTTTCCAGTCTGGAGTTAGTGACACTAAGCAACAGCAGCGGCGTAAATCTCATTTCTCAGGTAGAGACATCTGGTATCTGGTGGTGATGCCAGGAGCACCCAGGGACCAGTGGTGGCAGTGGCAGCCTCCAGCACAGAATGGCTGCTCTAGGGGGTCACAGACGTTTGACACATTACTGCTTCCCTGCCAATGCCATCTTTCTTCTGAAAAGTGATCATCAAATCTATCGACGGCAACAATTCCACAGTCTTTGGTGCTCTTATTGAGAGTGTGGGCGGATGCTATCTCTGAGACAAACCCTCCATTTCTGGTTCTTATTAGTGCTTCAAAGAGCTACAAATGGGTCTTTTGATCAAATAGACAGTTCAATAATGTTTGGCAGGGGTCACTCTGTAACAGCAATATTTGGGCAGTTTTCTGGAAATGCCTTTGAAAACAGGCTTCCAGATTTGCCCCTGGGGTGAGGAGAGTGGTAGGGAGTGGGTGAATGGCTTCAGGCATCAAGTCCCCTGTGTATAAAATCACTTGGGTGAAGGTTGAGTGAATCAGCCCCTCCGGGTTAAGTGGAAAATAAAAGGAAGATGGAAACCTGGGCACTAAAAAGATCTTTGAGGCCACTGACCAGGGGTAACAAGAACTGCCCACAGGTAAAGTGCAAATTCTTTCAACGTCAATGATTTCTTCTGGCCTGGACTTCACAAAAGCAGAGGAGTAACATTACTGTTCTTACAGAATCAGTGAGACTGCAAATACTTTTATTCTGTGTCAAGGACCTGAAGACCCAGCTCTGTACATACAATTCAAATTCTCAGACTGAGATTTCAACTTGTTTTTCGTTGTGCTGCCCTCGGTGTAGGGGACAACCACTGTCCAATGGATTGACAGAGTTACTACAGCAGCTCTCCTGCCTAGAGCTACTGTAAGAAGACACCCCAGGACAACAGAAGCTGCAACTTCTCCATGCAGGGTAGTCTCAACATTTTTCAATTTTCTTCATGGCTTCTTTTCCAACCTTTAGAAAACATTTCCTACATGGAACCCTTTCCAGATGTCATTTTAAAGTCCCCCTAAAGTTTGTACAGATTACTTAAAAAGATAGGTGTATGATTCTACTGTGCTCTTTCTTCTAATTCACTGTGACCTTTAATATGCAAATCAAAACTCATCATACTCTTACTGTTTTTACCTCTTCTCATCATGTTAAAAATAGTGATATTTCTAAAAGAAGCATAACTTTGGAAAAGGCCATTTGTAGTTCACTTCATTTCTTTTTCTCAAATAAGCCAGATTTCTCCCTGAATTCCCCCAAGATACTCTTGCTTTTCAAACTTAATACTGAAAACAGGGCCACAAAATTCCTCAACATTTGCCCACATGCTTTAATTTCTGTAAACCTTAGAATTTACAGACTCACTTCACACTTTAGTTGACTCTTGAACAACATGGGTTTAATCTGTGAGGCTCCACTAATACGAAGATTTTCTTCAATAAAGATGCATGATACTACAAATGTCTTTTATCTTAAGATTTTTTAATAACATTTTCCTTTCTCTAGCCTACTTTTTGTAAGAATACAGTATGTAATACGAACATATAATGTACAAAATATGTGTTAATCAACTGTTTATGTTCTCAGGAAGGCTTCTGGTCAACAGCAGTTCAGTTTGAGGGGAGTCAAAAGTTACACGTGAATTTTCAACTGCATGGGAGCCAATACCCTGCACTGTTCAAGGTCAACTGTTTTATAACTTCCCCCTAAATCTTATGCTTCTTTGCTTCCTTTCTGTTTTGCAGAATAAATGGTCTCATGCTGGACTATAAATATCCTCTTACAAATTCTGCACTGGACACTTAAAATAGTTCATATTCTTAAATGTGTGCTTTTCCATACCACCACAAATTATAACAATTTCTAATTTAATTTACTAATGATAAGAAATTTAATATTTTTAGTTTTTCTAACTCCCCTTTCATACTCCATAGGAGTAGCAATTTGAATCTTGTATATAGTTTTGTATTGTGGTTTCTGGATCAAAATATATGAATTTCAATGAACACTTCTCAAACTTTTCAGTCTTAGGATCCCTTTATATCCTTAAAAAGTATGGAGCACTCCAAAGAGCTTTTGTTTATAGGGTTATTTCTATCAATATTACTATATTAGAAATTAAAACTGAAAATTTTTTAGATGTTTCTTATTTTATGTTAGTATACAAGAATTTTGTGCAAAATGACTATGGGTTCAAATTTTAAAAAATTTAGTGAGAAGAATGTGATTGTTTTATATTTTTGCAAATTTCTTTCATGTCTGGCTTAATAGAAGACAGCTGGACTCTCATATCTGCTTCTGCATCCAATTTGTTCTGATATCACATAGCATATAATAACCTCTGGAAAATTCCACCATACCCTTGTGAGAGAAAGAGAGGAAAAGACAAGTAATGTTCTACGGTTATGAAAATAGTTCTGACTTCATAATAGTCTTCAGCACACCCAGCAGTCCCTAAATCACACTTTAAGAACTCCTGATTTATATGATCACTTTAAAGACAGCATACCATCTTAATATATGAATTTCCACACATTTAGCATTTATTTTGTGGATGGAGTAATTTTAGTTATTTTGAAAGTATCCTTTGTTGAGTTTTGTTCCTTTCCTTTGAAAGCCTGCATGACTCTATTTTCTGGAAGTTTAAAATCTTCTTTTCTCTCTCTTTTTAATTTTATTGTTGTTCAAGTACAGTTTTCTGCCTTTTATCCCCTTCTCTCCCCTTACAACCCAGCCATCCCCACCTCCTTCCCCTGATTCTAATCCCCCTTGGTTTTGTCCATGTGTTACTGAAAACCCTTCACCCTTTTCCCCCCATTACCCCTCCTATCTCCCCTCAGGTTACTGCCCATTTGTTCTTGATTTCAATGTCTCTGGTTATACTATGCTTGCTTGTTTGTTTTGTTGATTATGTTCCACTTATAGGTGAGATCATATGGTGTCTTTTACTGACTGGCTTACTTCACTTGGCATAATTCTCTCTAGTTCCATCTACGCTGTTGCAAAGGGTAGGAACTCCTTCTTTCTTTCTGCTGCGTAGTACTCTATTGTGTAAATGTACCATAGTTTTTTTATCCACTTATTTACTGATGGGCACTTAGGTTGCTTCTAGCACTTGGCTATTGTAAATCATGCTGCTATGAACATTGGGTGCATAGGTTCTTTTGGATTGGTGTTTCAGGGTTCTTAGGATACAATCCTAGCAGTGGAATTCTCAAGTCAAAAGACAATTCCATTTTTAGTTTTTTGAGGAAATTCCATACTGTTTCCCATAGTGGCTGCACCAAAATACATCAGGCATTGCTATCTCTTCATTAGTTTTTCCAGGAAATTTTTTATTGCTGCTAGGGAACTCTGGCTGTAAAATCATCCTCAACATCTTGTTCAAATACAGAGAAAACCCACCTATACAAATATCTAAAAGGCAGGCAGGATAAAGGTTCCACTCCCAACCTGTCTCCCCAAGTATTCTGGATACTAAGAGGTATCTAATCAAAGTCTAGAGCCCAGGGGCATCCTTGTCCCTTGAATGATCATCAAGAATCCCATCAGACCTGTGGAAAAGTTCTATGAGCACAGAGCGGAGGCTTTCTGTGCTGTTCAGTGAACGAAGAGGATGGGACCTACAAAGTAAAAGCAGAAAGAACAGGGCACTGCAGTTCTTGCCACCCGATTGGACAGAGCATCAGGGAATGAACTGCAATGCATTCAAGCATCTTTTGTGGTCACTGCTGAAGATTCACTTGTTTTCAGGTGGCACAGAATTGTGGAGAAGCAATAGTTGGTGCTATCATCTATCCACTTGCCAGAATTACCTCTCTTATAGATTTCAGGAGGTTGGAATATGTTAACTATTTACTTACTAATTTAATCCAAATCTATATACTTAGTAATTTCCAATGAGATCAGTTCCTGCAACACTGGTGTTTTTTCCCTACAT